TAGATAGATAGATAGATAGATAGATAGATAGATAGATAGATAGATAGATAGAGATAGATGATAGATGATAGATGATAGGTAGATAGATAGATAGATGATAGATAGATATAGATAGATAGATAGATAGATAGATAGATAGATAGATAGATAGATAGATAGATAGATAGAGATAGATGATAGATAGATAGATAGATGATAGATAGATATGACAGGAAAGCTGTATTGAGTTAGTAGAAATTTTAGATATTTTACTTACAATAAGAAAGAAGAAAAGTTAGAATGTTGTAATTTAGTATAGAAATAAATACCAGCAGAGTGACATGTAACATTTATCAAGACTTCAGAGCGGCCAATGTGATATTCAATGCTATGGACACACGAAAACATTTCATCTACAGGTAAATATAAATATAAAATTCAGGGAGCAGTTAACCAGAGGGGGACTGGGAGGGCGGGGCAGGCTGAGAAGATGAAGGGAAGTCATCCCATTAGGGAGAACAGGACACCCAAAGGCCACAGGATGGAAAACTACCACAGGTCACGTGCACAGGACAAACTTGCTTAAAAGAGACTAAGATAATGAACCCTGGGCAAGTTCTTTTTCAGACCACATACTCCATGCCAAAAGTTTTGCTGGTGGACTCTCTATTACATTGGTAGTGTGCTACAGTGTTAAATTAAATTTGGAGTTAAATTAAGCCATGTTAAATTAAATCCATGAGATGTGGCCAAAATTATTCAAACTAAAGCCAGCTTCAATATCGAACATACCTCCTCTTGTCATCTTCTGTTAACGATTCTTCTGTTCTAAAAGGTCAAAGACATTTGCTGTGAGGTGTTTGGTTACATAGAGACTTCATTTTTGGTTATGAGAAAAGGGACTCTGAGTTACAGTCTATTTTATTTCACGTTCTCCCATCCAGTATTTCTGTAACACAGTGTTCTGTCTCTACCCCAATCATTCATACACTAACAAATTGGTAATTTTCTACTTAACAAAATATGCAAACCCAGCAAATGCCAAAAAGCCCAACTGCAAACAAAATAAAAAATTGAGGGCAGCCAAAATTGAAAAAGCACAGAAAATAGGCATCAGGAAGGCGGTTCTTCTCTTGGCTGTGCCCCTGCCCCCTGTGTGACAGACAGGCTGTGGGCAAGTGGCCCACCTGTACCTCATTTGTAAAATAAGGGGGTTGACCAGATAACTCCGAAGGTCCCTTCCAGAGTCCTAGCACACCATGATTTTGTGTTTCTCATGACAATTCAGTGGCACAACTCCAAGTATGAACAATTAGATTTTTTTTTAATCTAAAAAAACTCCCACTATTTTATACATGATCTGCTGCAAAGAGGAGGAACTGTTTAAAGGGAAGTTTGCAGAGGGAATCACTACTATAAAATGCACAGCCCCTTTCCTTGCATAAGAATCTATATTCTGCTCAAATTCCTTGGCATATTTCTGAGAGGATCAGGAAGCTTTCCTTGAAGCACTAGTTAGCATACACGAGTTACCTTTCTGAAACAAAATAAAAACTCAACAAGATTCAAATATATCTGCCTGAAGTCACCATGGAATTCTTAGGGGCTTCAGTCAAGAAGAAACGTAGACTGAAAACATCTGAACAGCTTCACTGAATCTTCTAGTTCTAGGGACTAATTGTAAGTTCACTCATTTCAAAGCTGTATTTCAAATGTATATGTACATGAGATTTTGCTTCATAGCAACAGCCCGTAAGTGCCAAATCTATAAAGGAGGGGACTATAAAGGTGGCAATTATCTGTAGAACACTGGCCATGCCCACAGCTAATGCTCCAGTCAACAGAGTGCAAAATCCCTGGGAGGTCTAACGGATCCAACTGAGCACATAACCTACACTGGCCAGGTAATTATCAACTTCATTTCTCTCTTGCTAAAGTCGGGTCGTTTTTTAATTCAAAGGTGTCAAAGTCATACTGTAGTAAAAATGGTGTTAGGCTTATTGAAGTGGTTTGACAAAGTGTTGTTTACTCCTTGTAATTAAAATGGATTTATAACCTGTTAGTAGGTAATAAGAAAATCACAGTGACAAACTCATTCGAGGTTATTAGAACAGTTCACCTTGGTCCTGAGTGACTCACGTTATCATGAAATTATTTTTGAAGCTATATACAACTGGCAGCTCTGGACATAGACAGTCTCAGGTTTTCTGCCACAGCTAACCTTTTCATATCCAATTACATGTCTGTTTATTTTAATTCTTTCCCTTTTTAATTCTGCTTAAGAATATAGTCAAGGTTTTAAAATATATTTTAACTTCCCCAAATATAAGAAAATCGTAAACTGTTTTAATCTATTATACCTTATTTTTTATTTAATATCCTAAAACTCAATCTGTATTCATATGTGTCAGTAGTTTGTAATGGTATTAAAATAAAAGTTTTATGCATTCTAAAAAAACTAATCAACAACCTTACACATCTAACTGACAGGAAATGATAATGTAGCTGCCATATTTATTGGATAATAAATTAAGCTTCAAATGCAATGCAATATGTTAAAACATACCATTTATAAAGACTTATCAGATGTCTATTCTTTTAAACCTTCAAATAATTTATCACGCCTGCCTTTGCCAATATGCCCCCATCTATGACCGGGGACCAAAGACGACACGGGTAAAAATGGCATCCTCAGCGGGTCCCTCCCGTGTGCGGGCAGAGTGCGGCCCTCGCGCACGGCCACCCGAGCGCTCAGACCCGAGGGATGGGTTCCGAGAGCCGTGTAAGTAACACGCGTGCAAACCAGCACGCAAGGGCCACGCTCCCACTTCGGGGGGAGCCACCTCGTTGGCTTGTCCCTGGAAGTGTTTTTGACTTTTACACACAGGGCCCAAAGGGAGCGTCTGATGTGCGTGGGACACCCACGGGTCCCGCCGGGAGCTGATGGGACTGGAACCAGCGGCGAGTGAGCTCTGGCCTCACTGCGGGAACACGCAGGTTTCCATTGCGCTTCTGCAGTGAAATCAGCCTGTGGCCCCTCAGGCCCAGAGCGTCCCCGGGAAACGAGCCCGGCTGTCCCCTGCGGACTGGCTGGCTTTTCTTCCTGTGCCCCAGAGCAGGGAGGCGGCAGGGAGGGAGATGGGAACCCAGGCCACACGTCCCCAGCGCCGGGAGAGCAGTGACCAGGACCACGCGGAGTCTAGAAGGCCCGCAGAAACGGGGTCGCTCCTCCACCTCCTGCCTGTGCGGGGGCAGCTGGCAAAGGCGGGGGATGAGGCGACCTGGGCCCTGACCCTCCCTTGGGAGGGCCGGGACGGATTAGCCATGCTGGGACAGGTCCCGGGGAACCAGGCCAGCCCACAGCAGGTGAGCTGCAAGGGAGGCCAGGCTGCTGTGCGCCTGTCGCCGACACTGCTCAGGCGGGAGCTGGTCCGAGAGCCGCGGCCACTCCGCGGGCCCGTGACCCTGCTCCTCGGACAAAGGAGCCAGCGAGGGCACCAGCAGAAGAACAGTTCCAAATGGGGTTCAGGAGTCCCTGCCAGGCCCCTACAAGCAGAGGTGCTGAACGTGGGAAACGTGGGGGCAGAAATTCGGGGACAACGTGAGCACCCCTTAATCTACCACAAGCAGGGAAGACACCTTGAGAATAGGGCTTCTACCAAGAGAGCCAAACACACAGGGTCACAGGGGGTAGGGGACCAGGTACCACAAACCAAACCCCTCCAAACACAGAGTGAAAGGTGACTCTTACCACTTTCCCTCTCCGCTCCCCTGGCCCGGCCTCGATGTCACCACTAGGGAGCCAAAGGCCAGGCTCAATGAGGGGAAAGGAAACTAGCACCAATTACCAAAGGGTCAAGGGTGATCCCGAAACAACTATGCGGCACATCAAGACAAAACGTGCTCTTGCGAGGGGACCTGTGCTGGACATGAAGCCACCGTCCCTCACCACCAAATCCCCGACGCTACTCTGTGATCTGGGGCTAGGCCTCTGAAACCCACGCTCCCCTCTGCCAGCTGGCTCCCTGTTAGGGTCCACACCAAGGATGCTAAAGTGCAAAATGAGGAAAGGGCTGCTCTTTGCAGCTGTGGGCGCTGTCCCTGTCAGCATCGTCCCAGCAGCTGGCTCCAGTGTCCAGAACAGGACCCTTTGCTCTCCTTTTCTGGTCACAACAGCTCAAGCGGGGGGCCGGGACAGTGGCTATGGAGAGGCCTGCAGCTGGGATCACTGATGGATTTCAAGTCAGATGCGTCAGCCCCAGCCTGGAGTGCCCTGTCGTCTGAGACCCCGGGATCCCAGCAGCGCCAGGCAACATTCCCCTCAAAAGTCTGGGCCGAGCGCCCCAGAACCCCCCTTCCTCCAGCTCCCAGACTTTAATAACCCTGACCTCCTTCCTTTGTCACTCCAGCCCCAGCCCAGGTAGCCACTAGTCTGTTCCTTTCTGACATTCTAATCCTCCAACACCTGCTTCACCAGCTCCAAACAGGAAATCCTCTCGCTAAAATAGTTCCTATGATTCCCTTCACCCTGACCCGGCACTGACTGATACACTACCTGGCAGCAAGAGTGGGGTTTATCTCACCCGCTGAACCTGTCTTACTAAAGCATCTACAGTACTTGTCATTTTCTGTTCATCAGGTCCAATCACTACAACATCATCAATATACTGGACGAGTGGTGCACTGTGGGATATCAATAAGATCAAGATGCTGCAGAACCCAGGATGTGAGAGGCAGGGGGTCTATGACACAGGCAAGACTGTGCTGGCGTACTGTGGGCCATGCCAGGAAACTCTCCTGGTGGCCCTTGCAAACTGGCACAGGGATGAAGGAGTTGCCAGACCAAAGGTGGCATAATGGAGCTGGGCTCCGATTATTTTTGATAAGATGCCACATCTTGACCAGCAGCTGAAATTCAAATCACCTCTTCACGAGGTCTACAATAATCCACAGTCACTCTCTAAAAGAAATCTCCCTCTGCACAGGCCAAATAGGCAAGTTGGATGGGAATATGAGAGGCATCTCCATGCCTTTGTTTTCTCAAGTCCTTTGGGAGTTCACTGATTTCTGAAATTCCCCCAGGGATGCAATATTCCTGTTAATTATTATCCTGGAGGGGAAATTCCGCTGGCTTCCGCTTGGCCCTTCCTACCGCGATAGCCTTACTTCACAGGCCAGAGGGCCAACGTGAGGATTCAGCCAGTGGCCAAATATGTGTACTCCAATCATGAATGCAAGAACTGAGAAAATAGCCAGAGCCTGGGCCTGCAGACTATTGGACCCATTGAAATTCCAAACAGTAGCAAGAATTCCATTTTTCACCTGACTACCATAAGCTCACACATGGACTGGTGGGCCAGAGTGGCATTTTGGGGTCCTCGGGTATTAACATGAGCTCAGTGTCTAAAAATCTCTAAGAAGTTCAGGTACTTCCTTTAGTTCTGGGCACAGTTGCACCAATAAATGGACACGAGCCCCTTTGGGGAAGACAGGGAGGAGTATCCACAGCACATGCCTGTAGCCGTGTTGAATGTTCCCTCGGGGAGCATGGCCTCCCCTTCTCAAGGGACTCAGAGACTAACTTGAGTCCGGAAACTCAACTGAGGCTATGCCTTTCCATTGTGATGACTCAAGTCAGGGTCCTGATTCCCAGACCAGAGTCTTCCTCTTATGGAAATAAACAGAGGGAGAAAATTAACCTTTAGAAGGACATCCATCTAATTCATCCCTGGGGAGGCTGTGATCAACTAGCTATGATCAAAGATCCTTCCAGAATAAAACATGTTCATTGCCTCTGTCCACCTTGTTTCAGGTGGTTAAGTTCTACCCCCACTTGGCCTCTGCTCCTAAGAGCCCATCTCAGGGACAGTTTCTCCCACTGTCATAGCCATCTTACAGGGGACAGCCACCTCAGAGCTCATCCGGGATACTCCCTGCACTGTGTTTCTCAGCTTTGTTAATGACTTAGTGAAGGGGGGTCTTCTGTGGTGGGGAGCAGGTCTCGCTTCAGAAATTCATCCCGACATTCCTCTCTCCTTAAGCCTCTGGACTCCCCCCTCCGTTACACCCGGGGGGGGTCTGGCATGCTCCTCCCCTGGTTAGAGTGCAAGCTCATTCTGTTCATCAACCAAGTTAACTGAAACATTAGAGTCCCAGCCATGTAGCAAAGTTATAAAATCTAGAATCTCAGGTAGATATAACAATAAATTCAGTCTAATTCAGTATATACTCCTTCCTCCTTGGTCTCACAGCCTTAGGGTCCATTTCCACACACATTTCCTAGGTGTCTGGTAATACAAACTACAAAATCCTGCAATTATTTTGTAGTAGAAGCTCACTCTTCACAGGTCAGATGTGCACTTGTCCCTTTGGGGCACACGGGGATCTGAATTAATTTGTGGGTCTAGTGGCAATCCGGGGTGACTAGAGTAGGTCTTGAGGAGGACAACTGTCCCCAAACAAGGCAACCACCCCAGGTGAGGGGACCCAATTCCATGCCTCTCACCCAAATGGCCTCCCCCTTTCTCAAAGGCACTACGAGGAAAACACAAAAGTTCCTGGCTGGCAAAGAAAGTCCGCTCTCTGTCATTAGTTTCACCTCAGTTCTAATTTAGGCCAGTCTCATACTCTTGAGAGAGGAAATGGGAAACAGAAGAGGCTACAACAGCTGTCTCTAATCTAACCAGGGACTAAACAGCCACAAAATTCTCCCTGCAATATGGACCTGAGTCTAAAACTCTAACAGAGAAAGCCCTTCCATGTACCACAGTTTCAATGCCCCAAGAGCATAACCAAATGCAACGAGACAAGAAAGTCACCGCCCACCTTGACTTCTGGCCTCCCCAACGACATGCAGAGTATGGGAAGAAAGGAGAGGCTAAAGAGGCAGGTAGGTTGGCTTCTTTTTATTCGAAGGTATAAGCAATCAACTATTTGAATAATGTGAAGGGTCTGGACAGGATGAGATTTAAATATAGTTTAATTGTACCTGTTGGCTAAAGTTACAAGTTCAAGTTCTCCATTAA